CTTTGGTTTCGACATCATAACCGTACACCCATGTTTCATCACCAGTTATGACCCTTTCAAGCAAACTTGGATCGTTGTTGACGTCATTTAACAGCTCTTGAGCGATGTTCATGCGATTGCTTTTTGGTCAAAATTTAGCAGTTTTGGAATGAATTTTGCTGCCACTCGTTTCATGCCCAAAACATTTGAAAAAATGTTATGACATGAGCCAATTGATATGCCAACTTCATCAGCAACTTCTCTAATTGTGATTCGGCGATCATTCATAACCATTTTTTCCACTTCTTTCACATTTTCATCGTTTGTTGACGTGCTGGGTCGACCGGAGCGTTCGTCATCTTCAACGTCTTCGCGGCCATCTTGGAAACGCTTATACCACTCGTAAACACTTGTTTTTTTCATAGCAGACTCACCATAGGCTTTTTGTAACATTTCACACACTTTGTTACACTTTATTTCATTTTTTACGCAAAATTTAATACAAATTCTTTGACTTTTCAATTCTTCCATTGTAAAAATCGCCGAGCTCAGAAAAACACGTCGAACCTTAGCGACTACCACAGACAAAGTAAACAGTGAATATAGCTGAAAATTTCATCATACTTTAGGGGCATGTATACCAACACAATAAAAAAAAAAATTTGACAATCAGACACTCCAGACCCGCGAAATTAAAATTCCGGGTACTTTTTGAACACACCTCGTATAAAAAAGATTTAGAACGTGATCTATTGAATTTGGATCTAATTAGTAATTGTATCAGACAACAAAGAAAGTGATGACCTATTTAATGACCTTTGCAGAATGTTTAATTTGTAAATATTCAATAAATCTGAATAAGCCTGGTGAATCAAATGAGTATATCGCTCAGCAGCATACGGTTATTATGATATAAATCTAATTATTTATCATTGCGATCTTGCTACATATACAACCCATTCAATGTGTTAATCTTCCCATGGCAATGATATAAATGCGTGCAATAAACGTATGAGAAGTCTATTTTGTAGCTCATGTCTAAGAACAATGGAACCATTTAATCATTTAGTTATGTTTTCGATGTTCCATTTTCAGCTGTTATAACTCGTTGTTTGGAATCGCCTTATTCTCATCGGCTGCGTGTTCCTCTCTTAGCGCGTGGGCAGCCCGTGGTGGCTTCAGAGGTCAATTGACCTCCGGGGTTATAAAACGTAATGCGCGCGGGTCAATCGGTTGCGAAGTCGGGGCGGAGATACCAGATGTTATCTCTCTTTGTGATTATTATTCGAGGAGACGACGGGATGATGATGATAATGGTCGCGAGGCTCCCGGCTTCGCGAGCAAATTACCGGGTTATTATTCGGTGAAGCGCGGAGTTATACATCGCGCGCGGTCACGCCTCGCACGACCCAGAGGTCACGAGACCGAAACAAGTGCCTTTTCGACAGGTGCCGAATAATAACCAGCATTTAAGTGCCCTTAAAGGTATTATATTATTTTTTCGCAATAAATCTGTCAGCGTTAGATCAACGATAACATCAAAATTGACATAAACTGGGTCTTTTAGAACAGTTTTATATTTTGGACTATTTTCTTATTTATTTTCTTAATAATTATTTTTATTTCACACAAAGCTACATTCTTTTCCAAATAACCAAACCCAGAATGATGATGTGATGTTTTTTCATTCTTTAGCAAAATGTCGCAGAATGCAGCAAGGTACATCAGTACAAACATATTCTCACGCAATGTGTCTCAGAACTTTGCCATAAAAGCAGCTGTAAATCAAAGCGTTATAACTTTTGCAATAAAACAAAAGCGACCGCACTCGTTCTTCAGATGCTGCACGTCTATCGTTAAAAAAACAATATGGTAAAGGCTAAACGTGCTAAACAATATATGTCTCGATCTAGGTAGGTGGCCGGCGAGAGTTTTGCCCTAGCGAACTTTTCTTTGTGCAAAACTTTAATCGAATTCCCCTCGAATGCTGTGGGCAGCGAAAACTTGCTTAATCCTTTGAACTCGGAATAGGAATTAGAATAACTAGATTCTCATAACATATCTAGCCGGGAGACGCATGGTTGATTATAATATGATATGAAACAATATCCTAACTTAACACACTAACGGTTGCTATGAAAATTATAATGGAAACATGTCTTAATTTACCAACTTTTTGAAGAATCTCTTATAAAAAAAAAATATTCTGGTCATCATTTCTTCATTTTAACAATCCCTGAAGTTAATCTGTCCAAAATCAACATTTGACGAAATACACAGTGGAATCTTTTTGATACAAACATAAACAATAGTTGATAGAAATGTAGTTTTTTTCTGTATTATTGATAAAACTCCAACTCCGTTTGTGGAAATTTTAATCAATATTATTACCTATAGGTAGTATCGTTTATCATTGGCTTTTGAATTCATTTAGTTCAGTGACCTGGGACGCACCATAGACACTGACAGAACTTCGCGTTTATTACTTCTTAGCGGTTTACCGCAAAAGCGATATTTAGACATTAATTGCCGTTCTATTCTTACCGATTGTGAGATTTTTGTAAACACAAAATTTACTGACTTTTGTCTAATTAGTGAAAATACTTCAGATATAAAATAGAACACTGATCCAAAATTTTCCAAACAGCTTTACTTTTGTTCTGTTTGATTTTGATAATTAAAGTGAACAGTTAATACTAACGACTTGAAGTTCAACTTCCTTCCACGGCAAAAAGCAATGTGCATGTATTATTATTTGCAAAATGCTTGAACGTCTGTTTAGATTTTGGTCACGTACGCCGCCTGGTTGTTAACGACCATAAAGTTTATTTATACATAGAATAGAAGAGTTTGAGTACATCTATAAATCCTCGTAAGTAAGAAAGTTTATACCAATCACTGGAGATGAATTGAGCATATGAATTATACAACCCACATGTGGAAAGATGCCGTTTTTGATACAACAGATAAAAGACATATAATGGGTAAACATTAGAAGATAAGTGCAAATGGTGTCAAAAGATCTTGAACCTGAAGACGATTAAATTTAGTTGGTCAAACTAAACCTTCGTGAATGAAACATATAATATCCGAGGTCGTGTTGACAAACAGAATTTTGATGAAGTGCCTTCCGTCGGTCTGGCAGTTCATGAACCCTTTTCGCGTAGCATTTGCCGCGGGCCCGATGTTAAACACGCTGACAAAGGCTCGAGCCGAGCGTGGGAGACAACTGAATTATATGCAAGCACTCGCACCGTAAAATATTTCATTACACCGACATTCTTTTCTACTAGAACGGTCACTAATTATAACAGAAGAAGAAAAAATCATTGACTTTCAGGAAAAAATTCTAAATTGATTCCTAGTTGAATTTGCTAATTAGAAAATTAACGTTAATTTTCAATTTTATTTTACTCATAATAAATATTATTATCCTTGTTTTATGTATATGAAGTACTGCACATAATTTTGGAAGTTACCTATATAATCTCAATTTTTGTTCCTGGTTAAATATTAAAATTTGATACCTAAGTATATATTGCTTCAAGTACCTGCGTACTATAATAAATGTGTGATATAAATTGTTTTCTATACAAATTATTTATAAATATTTAAAAATTAATTATCATGGCCATATTAGATATAATTGAAAAACTTACAAATTATTAAGCAATTCGTGATTATTTGGATTCGTTGATTAGTTTTGCATGAAAATTACAAATTCTGTATAATAAGTTTCTCTTGAAAAGTTTGATACATTTATAGATCTGTATGTAAATAATTTTTTACATTTATTTTGAGCGAAAAGAATTGCTGAAGTAATTTAGATTATAATAATGGGTAGAACTGCCCTAAGGTAGGTACGTGAGCTGAGTTAAACTTTAACTCGATTCAGAGAAGAAGTATTTTGAAAGTTATTGTTGCTGAAGTATAACGTAGTATACCACTATTTGTATTTTGCAATGTATCAATCAAGCAAAAGTTGTGAAATATAGGCTTGTCTCTTTTAATCATTGTCTCACGACTCAATACGTGAAAGCTTGTCACAGATTTCACAAATTTCCTGAACATAAATCTTTTTCTTCGAACCATAAAAGCTCTAGAGATTATTGAAATTGAGCCATTAAAATAGAAAAAAAATATTACTTATATTCTGTATTGTACGTACTTTCATTGCGTGTAAAACTAGCAATAAATACAGATTTATGTCGAATTTAAATCACACAGGGGATAAATTTATATCTCTTTTGATGCAATTGGTGAAATATAGCAAACACTTTCTCTAATTATTGCATAGATTAAATTATGGTAATTAATTTTAGATCAGTTTTATATAAACACTATATTTCATTTCTATGCAAATTTCACCACAGTTTGCAATTATTTTAATAAATCACCTTTTTGTGGCATAAAATCGAATCAAATGCAGTTTGTGGCAATGAAAGTTATTTCATAACAATTTTTAGTTTACTTTCGCAATAATCTTAACGCCCATAATTTTTATTATATTTTAATTTTGCATCAATAAAAGATAATGCTATTATAATATTGAGATTACTGGAAACCCTCGGTTTTAAAAATTGATATATTTGATTTGATCTGGTAGCTCTTGCAAATTTTCATATTATACTCCGTATTTTTTTTTATCATGAATGTGTATTTAGGGGCGTTCATTAATTATGTGAGCGTGATGGTCCTCCCTCCCCCTTGGTATTATTTAAAATTACCTTCCCTCTCCCACACATTTTTTTTACAACATAACGTGTATTTTAGTGCCTAAAAGAAATGGTAATTTTTTTAAAATTATTTCGAAACATTTTAGATTTTTTGTTAAATTAGAGTAAAAAATAAATACACGAGTTATCTTACTGGTCCCCCCCTCTCCTACGTGATATTTCGTGATTTTCGTCCAACCACCCCTCCCCCTTTAAGGCTCACGTGATTAATACATTCCTTAAATACTCAATGTGCACATACTCAAATTAGTAGTTCCAATTTATTTTTTCCAAATAATCCCTTACCTCTTCCGTATCCGTGCGTGTGTTTTGCGAAGCTATTGACGACGGCGTCAACCGCCTCCCGCAGCACTTGTTTGGCCCGCGCGTCTGGTGCTCCCGCGGACGCGGCCGCTGACTGCATCGCCAGTTCGACGGAAGACAACGGATTCTGTCAGAAATTTAAATCAATCAGTTGATAGCAAGATTATGGATGAAAGTCATAATGATTCATGCTTTGTGAGTCACTTGTAATGCAATAGACCGGAGTAGTTGTTTGTTTTGCATTTGTAAATGCTTGTTTTATATCGACTGTTTGTATTCGCATAATGCTTCCTGTCTAGTCAATTTCTATCGTCGTGGGAAATGTGTGGGGGTATAATATATTATTTTCACCGGTTAAATTTATATTTGCCACTATTTTCTTGCAAAAAATTAAAAACATTGATATTAGAATATCTGATGGTTGATGAAATTTATTATTTTCCCTTTTGTTAAAAAAATGGCGGTGACAGAAAGTACTCCTGTAACTAATTAAGATCTATTTCAGTTAATTGGATTCACGTACAACGATATGTGGGATTAATTATTATTTTTACAAAAACTTGACAAGTATGATTATTTCACTTTCACGCGCTAGACCAATATAAAGTCACAATTGTATGTTTATTGAAATCACTTATGGAAGATGATGATTACATAATCTTATTACTAACAAATACTATAATTTCTGTGATGAATCTCCAAATGTAAAGTCTTGAAGACTTTCATTTTAGCTTTATAAACGTACTTCATTATATGTGATGTTGAATAGATGAATTTGCATTATGTTTAAAAAGTAAAGTTTATAGATTTGATTAGTTTATTTTTGCCTGTGATGATACTTCTTAATTACGGTCTTTTAGAAGTCAATCCTATGCTTATTAGGTGCTACCAATTCGACGAGTTAAAAAATGAAATTATATTGAAAATTCTTTATTATTTCAGTATCATCATTCAGCAATTTATACCAGGAGAATATTATATATTAGGCATCATCTAAAATATAAAAAAAATTGATGGTATAATGGATGCTATAATGGCTGAATCAAGTACTCAAACGTATAAATGAAGAATTTTTAATATAAATTCCTTTTCAAATATGTTTGAACGTTGAAAAAACAAAATGACACACACACACATATATGCATATATTATTATTTATTTAAAATTTTTAATAGTGATGACATTTTTAAAATATAGGATATATAGTAAGAGCAATTTTCACATGGAAGCAAATTTTTATTTTATAGAATTCTTGATCTAGCTTTAATTCTCCATATTTTTATTGATCTATTATCATTGATTTAGTAGTTCCTCACTATTACAGAAATTGTAATAATAAAATTCATCACATAGGAATGGAACAACTGGAAATGGGATTCCAACATCTCATAAAACCCTAAAGTTCTGATCCCTATTCAAATAATATATATAAAAAACAGATTCAATATCTGGATTTCTATATAGATTGTCCTTTATCCTTATACATATTTAATTTAGTTTATTTATTAAAGTATGCAAAACGCACAACTCCTCCTTCGCGTAATGTCCTCTTCGCGTGCCTGGCACTTTGTTCCCTTGTCCAGGTACCGTTATATTGATTAACACAGATTATTGATATATTCATCGATGAAAAAGAAAGGCACTCTGTTTGATGAAAACATTCTTTAGAAGCTCAGATATTTTTGCATTCTGCTCTTCCGAAGCAAAGCTCATTTTTTAATACTGATTTGCGTTGCGTGCAGAATCTAATTGACTAATTATGCTTTTGAGCAACGCAAAAAAATCGTTTAAGGTAATAGATGTAATTTGGGCGCTAAGCACGTGCTGGGGTAATGGATTTATCTTATTAATATTGGTTTTGGTAAAGTAATTTTGCACAATTGAATTTGTAAAAAACAATTTAGTGTGCTGAAATATATTATTGAAGATGTCGGCGTGATCTCAAAATTGATTTATAGAACAACATAAATTTTAACAAGTCTTGAAATCATAGTGTAATAAATCTGAATGCACGAACAGAATTATGTGCATGCACATGGCACTGAAGTTAAATCGAATAATCGGTCGTGAAATAGCTATTTGTTTTAGATTCATTATTATTCGCGTATTTTATACTACAAAAGCCAGGATTAATTGGAAATTTATAAAAGTAACATGAACTTAAAAATAAGTGATTTTCTCTAACTTCCAGTTATTGACACATGTCGCTTTCAATATTGCATCTATCGAAAGTTTTTTTTATTTCTTTTGATAATTTTTAAATACCCTAAATAGTTTATTCCATAGTTGATGTACGTAATTCAGATAATTATACCAAAGGGTTTTTGGATTTGCTTATTTCTCATTTATCCATTGAAAGATTTTCACATTTTGTTGGCCTTTTTTCCAATGATAACGAATAATATTGATAAATGTACCGAAGGGTTGTTGAATTTCTATATTTCATCTGACAAAAGTTTTTCAGTGGATATTTTTAGTTAATGAATATATTGCTGGTAAAAGCTTGATTGATTTCTAAATATATTACTCCTGCAAATATTTTTACCAAAGTTCTGCAGGTTTTACCTTGGTAATAATATCCATTTTTATAACATTATTGATTAGCTACATGTATAAAAAATTTCAATGAATAATAATTTTATTTATTTATTCAAATCAATATATATCGGATTTAGTGAATACTAATAATTCCACTCATAAGAAAAAAAATACTAGGTTACTTAAAGTAACAATTTTTGAAAGCAAGATTATCTATTACCATGTGGTACTTTTTGT